TCCAATCACCCCTGATAAGTACTTTCATCCTACACAACAACATTGACAAATGGTGTATTTGTTTGGGTCACGAGAGGTGCCCTGAAGAGGGTAGTTATATCCCAATCTTGAACGGATAGACTTACATTTTTCTTCAGAAGGGGTTTCAGAATAGTTTTCTAATTTGGGAAGACAAAGAGCAGTTCGAAAAGATTTTATATCCCAATCTTGAACGGATAGACTTACATTTTTCTTCAGAAGGGGTTTCAGAATAGTTTTCTAATTTGGGAAGACAAAGAGCAGTTCGAAAAGATTTTGTATTGATAGTAACCCTAGATTGACCATCTCCAATGGTTCCGATAATAGTTTGAACATTATAATCAACAGAACAGGAATAATAGAACTCGCATACTTGCTTATGGTAGAATAACTCTGGGAAGTTGTAGAAAGCATATCGAAGAGGGCAGCTTGAGGCACACATCTTAAATGAGTGCCATGACGTGGAACTATGTTGGCCATGCCGTGGCAACCATTTTATGCAAAACCCTAGTTCTCGAGCCTTAAACCCTATTTAAAGGAAGTGATGGCTCAGATTTCCTCCACCCTCAACCTCTATCACCTCTAAATGAACCTTTAGCCAAACTCTTGTTCTTTTGAAGCTTTTGTGCTCATTTTTCAAGCTTTTAGTGGTTTTAAAAGAAGAAGAAGAAGAAGAGTTGGTGCCTTGGTTCAGCAAGAAAACCTTTTCCCTCACTTGTGTGCATCTTCTAGACTCTTTGTAAGTCCTCAAGCTTCCATCTTTTGATGTCTTCCTCTTTAGATCTAGGCTTTATATCATGTTCTGGTCCCTTTGATGTTGTTTTTATGATTTGAAGAGATAAAGTTTGCAACTTTATCTCTCCGAGTCCCTTGAGCATCATATTTTGTAGATCGAGAAATTGGTGGTGGTTAGAAGAGTTTGCATGAATTTTAGATCATATTTCATATTACGACATAGATTTAGGAAAGGACATGCATGGTGCATGCATGTCCATAAAGTTTGCATTTTTAGGGATTATTAGGATCCCTAAAACCCTTGTGGAAGTTTTGAACCGAAGACTTTAAGGATTAAGTGCTTAATAGGCGACTTCATGCCTTAAGTGGCCATTAAGGACCTAGGTTTTGAAATCTTGGCTTATTGGGATGTATTAAATGGATAAAGTTGGAAACTTTATCCATAAATACCTTGAGAATAATCATATCTGAGCTTTGGAGCTCTTAAGGATGAAGGAAAATGACTTAATTCATTAAGTTGTTCCGACCCAGTTCCTATGACGTGACCTTCCGCCCGCCACGACGTAGCGACTGGGGATTAGCCGACTGTTTTTTCATTTTGCATGGCCAAAGGAAGGCCACGACGTGGAGGCTTGTTGATGATAATTTTTGACCTTTGACTGTTGACTGTTGACTTTTGGCATAGTTTGACTTTTGGTCAAATTACTAGTTCTAGAGTATAGACTAAGGTTGGACCTTGTTTAACTCGATAGGTGTGTGGTAGGACCGTCTATGGGGCATTGAGCTAAGTTTTAGCTGACTTTGTGAGACAGGTGAGTCTTCTCACTATATTGAGTAGGATGCTAGTTGTCTTTGTGACTTGCATTTGTATGCTGGGCTGGGCCTATTTGTATGTTGGGTTGGGCCCATTTGTATGTTGGGATGGGCTCGATGATATGATGGGTTAGGCCCAATGATATGTTGGGATAGGCCCACTGCTATGTTGGACTGGGCCCATTGTATGATGGGTTAGGCTTGTTGTATATTGGGCTAGGCCCGTTGTATGGTATGTGGTGTTCTGGGGGAACTCACTAAGCTTTGTGCTTACGATTTTGTGGTTTAAACATTTTCAGGTATTTCCAGTTCCAAATGGAAGGGCCCGACTTGACTGTACAACATCCCCTTATGATTTTCCGCACCGATGATTGTTATCTTACTTTGATGATTGTGATACATTTTTATTATAATTGGTTTTGAGACACTTGATGTATGGTTTTGTTGGCTTTTCAATGAAAAAATTTTATCAATATTTTTGGGATGTTACAGTTTACTTAAATATGATGTTTTGCAATACTATTTTGATTTATTTTTGTTTTCTAGCCATGATTATGGGCTAATACCCTTTACTTCTAAATAGATATAGATGAACCCCTAAATTTATGGTTTGATTTTTAGTTTGGATTTATTAAGTTGATTATGTATTATGTTTGTTTGATCGTAAATCCTTATGTGTTAAAGTTCTGATTTTTATCACCTATGATTGAGTTTTATGTAGTATAGATGACCAATCTAATTATATTAACTTGAATCATAACTGCTTTGTGGCCATTAAATTGTTATGACTAATGATAGACCAAATCCTAGGGTTAGGTAATATAATTATGAAGTATAATGTGTAAGATTACATTAGATGACCATTATGTGCATAAATTAATTATCACGACCATTGAGACTAATTACTAGATTAAATCTCTCATAATACGAACTTAAAAATGATTATTTACATCAACTATATTTTTCACGATCAGGTACACTGTTTAGTGTGTAACGATCCAGTTGTTATAAACCATTTTATAAATTTAAAACCTATTGATAAATCACACACCAAGTTTTTAGCAACATTATCGGGGAATTGTTTAATTTTGTTTTAGTTATTTAGTAATTAGTTATTTGATTCTTACTTTGAGTTTTCTTGTAGAAAGTTACTTTTTTGTTTACTCGATGAACACGTCGCACATGCACCTTTGCTACGTGAAGTATTTATTGGGCAATCAGGTTGTTTTTAATTTGTTTATTTGTCCATTTTTACTATTTTATGTATATGTGTTACAGTTAGTTGATGACTTGAGGATTCATTTTTCTGATTTTAACGATTTTTATATCTACACGATCGTATTTGAGTCACTACTACTTTTTATTAAGACTACTCGCGTTAAAAAGTAATATATTTTAACTTATGATTTTATAAATAAACTTTCATACATATATTTATAAAAAACGCATGTATATAAAGATTATAAGTAAAAATATATTACTTTTTACAAAAATAAAAACATTTATATATATCTATATATATATTATATATATATATATATATATATATATATATATATATATATATCGTAAGTTAAAATATATATTATTTTTTAATGGGAGTAAGCTAAACGAAAGTTGTATTAAACTCAAATATGAACGCGTGAATATAAATATCATTAAAATCCAAGATGATATGAAGAAATTACGACGTTCAGAACAAAAGACTTAAGCCAAACTACAAGACCTAAGCATCCAAGCAGTCGATGCCGAGGTGGCCATAAGCATCACATCCCAGAACACCTCATTAATGATTGTCTAATGTAGGACGCCATGGGAAAAACCTAAAGAAACCGGTCAAAAATATTGAATGTGTGCAAAAACAACAAAGACTTATTTTGCAACAAAAAAGATATTAAAGACTAAATGTGTGTAAAATATTAAAGACTAAACGTGTACAAAGTGAGAAATATATTACCCTTTAAGTCATTTTCTCCGGCTTACCTGGAGTAGCCGGTCATAAGGACTGAATGCGTATAATTTAACAAGTTGAAGTGCAAATGTGGACGAAAAAGAAAACCAGTGACCAAATATGTACAAATTGAAAAATATATTACCCTTAAGTCATTATCTAAAACAATAAAATAAAGGGTAAATTACACGAATAGTCCCTATGGTTGGTTTGAGGTAATATGAATGTTTGGTCTCTAACTTTTTTTTTATTCGAACAGTCCCTATTTCATGTATTTGTTACGTATTTAGTCCCTCTTATATAAAAAGACTATATTACCCTTATTTTTTTCTTTTTTAATTAATTATCTAATTTGTTATTATTAATAAAACTAAAATATAACCATGGGCCTATTCACTTCCCTGGTCCCTATAAAAAACGAAGGTATCATTGGACCACTTATATTACCAAGGGTTTGAAATTGTCAACCTCATCTCCTTAGAGATCGTCGGTGCCGGTGAAACTCAACATCAGTGTGAAAATCAACCACCACGGCCGTCTCAATGAACCACCAACGCTGATATTGTAAACTCTACGAGTTGCTGGTTGGCACAATTTGGTCGTCTTCTTCATACCATCCTACTGACATATAAAAAGAAATCAAGAATAGAAAATTGTGGGTTTGGCTTCATCGATTAAAAAATGTGCACTTCTCCAAACTAATATGATTTTTCATTGATAACTTTATCTTCATCAATCAAATGGTTAAAATGATACTTTATGGTGCCCTCCCTCCTTGAGGTCGAGGGTTCAAGTCTCGTGGTGAACATAGGTGGAATTAGGTTTTAGTTTAGGAGTAGATTATAATATTTGTATTTGCCGGTTCAAAAAAAAAATAATACTTTATGGTTTACCTATTTTCACTTAATGATATAGGATTCGTTGTTACCCTTTACATCAATGGAGGCTTATTAGATGTAAAAGGGGATAAAGAGATAAGGGGTGGGGCCCCCAACATCTTGTTAAATATATTTAATAACTATAAAATAAATGAAAAATATAAAAAAATAGTAAGGGCAAGTTAGTTTTTTATGTGACGCAGGGACCACCGACGCAATAAAAACATATAATGGGGACTGTTCGAGTCAAGAAAAAAATATGAAGGACCAAAAGTACAAATTACCCAAAATCATAGGGACCATTCCTGTAATTAACCATAAAATAAAACAAGTTTAGGTTTTGTATAAATATAGCCGTTAGTAAGCCATAGTATTGCATATCTTACTTTACCCATTCCCCCTTGATTTATTGTATATTGCTAAATAAGACCCTTCTCCAACTTGAAATCCAACAAAGCGCGATATACGTTACTACCTGCGCCCCAAATTTCAAAAATCAGCAACACATCTCAGCCGTCAATCCTAAACCAGATCTCGGCGAATCCAATAATAAAGCTTTCAATTCAAAAAAACAGTCATTTGAATTCAATTACATTCCCTTAAAACACATGAAAACAACCAAACAAACTACAGTTCATTTAGGGCTTTTGTACTAGATTTGAAATGATCTTCTTCTCACCTCCATTTTCAGCTCGATATTCTACTAGATTATCTTGATCTTGCGTCTAGTATACTGTTTGGTTCTCCTTCTCTTTTCAGATTATTGGTTTTCGTTTCTTGATTCATAATGATAAGAGATTCGAAGCTCTCGCGACGAAATTCCGGTAAAAATCTTAATTTCGAAGAAACTGAAAATGTGCCGGTGAATGTTAACATTCGTGAGTCATCGATTCGTCGGATGAGCATCGACTCTTGTTCCAGGCCTCCATTGAACTCAATTCAAGAACCCCTTCAAAACCCTAGTAAACCAGCTCAGGAACCAGGGTTCAGAAGCTCAAAAACACATAGAACACCGACTAAAGCTAAAAGTAGGCATCAGGAATCTGCGATGACAATGAGAACTCCAGAAAAGCAAGGGGTTTTAGCTAGAGATCGATTTGGGTGGGGCAATGATTCAACTGTGAATACTCCTAGGTCATGTAGGACCTTGGGAAGAGCTTCTTTGGGGTTTCCGGAGCTTAATTCTGCACATTCTACACCTACAAAAACTGTAACCAAGCCTCCAAATCCAGGGTTAATTTATGGAGGTAACTCTAGGCCTCCTGTTCGTACTGGAAACTTTGCTGCTTTATCTAAAGGAATTCCTGTAACATCCAACACTTGTACAACTGTAAATACCATCGAGGTCCCTCATTTTGATCTTAGAGAAGATCCATCATTCTGGATGGATCACAATGTTCAAGTAAGCTTCTTTTGATATAATTTAATCTCAAAAGATTTTGATTTTTTTTTTTTTTGACTTATGCGCATAATTTCTTCAGGTTTTGATTCGTATCCGACCTCTCAATGGCATGGAAATCACTTCACAAGGTTACAACAGGTGTCTAAAACAGGAAAGTGCACAATGTTTGACATGGGTTGGAAATCCAGAAACTAGGTTTACATTTGACCATGTAGCATGTGAAACAATTGACCAGGTATACAAGTAAAAACACAGATACATTAAGTTCATTCTTCTTGAATTTTTCTATTACAATTGTTAAAAAAAGAAAATTTTCAGGAAACCCTTTTCAAGATGGTTGGTGAGCCAATGGTGGAGAATTGCTTATCTGGATACAATAGTTGTATGTTTGCATATGGACAGGTAAATTAAGTTAATCAGAATAACACTTTTCAATCATTTTAATCATAATATTTTTAGTTTCTTACTTCATATTATATGTAATTATACAGACTGGAAGTGGGAAAACACACACAATGCTTGGTGAAATAAACAATCTTGAAGTAAAACCTAGCCAATATCGTGGAATGACACCTAGAATATTCGAGTTCCTATTTTCAAGAATCATAGCGGTAGTGTTATAACTTATGACATATTCATAATTCCAAATCTACCCTTCAAAAGTATTTCCAATCTCAAAAATTCATTTTTCATATACAGGAAGAAGGAAGTCGAAAGAATGAAAGACTTACATACAATTGCAAGTGTTCTTTCTTGGAAATCTACAACGAACAAATCACCGATCTTCTTGATCCTTCATCCACAAATCTACAAGTACGTAAATCTTTGAGTTTGACCCTTTTTTGACCTTATAAACGTCATCATTATGTTAAAAAGGTCTCTTTTTTCTCACTTTTAGCTTCGGGAAGATGTTAAAAAGGGAGTATATGTTGAGAATTTAACCGAATTTGAAGTTCATACAGTGGGTGATATTCTTAGGCTTTTAAGTCAGGTAAAAAATATGATCTTTTTAATCTTTTTTATGTTCTTGATATTTTTACCTTTTCTTTTTACTAATATTGTCAAATGTATCATAGGGTTCTGCAAACAGAAGAGTTGCTTCTACAAATATGAATAGAGAAAGTAGTCGTTCACATAGTGTTTTCACATGTGTAATTGAAAGTAGATGGGAAAAAGATTCAACATCTAACCTAAGATTTGCAAGATTAAACCTTGTTGATTTAGCTGGATCAGAAAGGTGAAAGATTCAGTTTTATATTATTTATTGTTTTTTTTTTTTATAAAACTAAATTTATACTATTATGTTCAAACAGGCAAAAGAGTTCTGGTGCCGAAGGTGAGAGGTTAAAAGAAGCTGCAAATATTAACAAATCATTATCCACACTTGGGTATAAATTTTTTTACTACGTGATTTTATAAATTTAATTTCTTGTTTTTTTGTATTTGTTTTCTTGTTAATGCAAATTTTGTCTATTTATACAGTCATGTAATAATGGTTCTAGTAGATGGTGCTAATGCAAGGACAAAACATGTTCCCTATAGAGATTCTAGACTCACATTCCTTCTTCAGGTATTTGTTTGAATAAATGACCATTTTACCCTTCTGTTTAGAATTGACCTTAATAGGGAAAAAATCAAAATTTTCTTGACTTTCTATGTTTCTTTTTTCATTCTTATTAATTGCCGTATGGATAAAGCGGTTGAATCGATAATAATATTTGTTTGAGTAAATGACCATTTTACCCTTCTGTTTAGAAATGACCTTACTACAAATATAATGCAGGACTCATTAGGTGGAAACTCAAAAACAATGATAATTGCTAACGTGAGCCCTTCAATAAGGTGTGTTATTATATCTTTCCTTGTATTATTATTATTATTACAGGAAATAATTTAACTATTTAATAATTTCTTTTTAATTTTTTGATAGTTCTGCTACTGAGACTTTGAACACTTTAAAGTTTGCACAACGTGCAAAACTTATTCAAAACAATGTAAGATAGTTTTCCATAGTTTCAATTCATGTTAAATTTTGGTGTCTTTTTTACCTTGTTACCCTTACGTTCTTCAAGATTTACAATTTTCCATCTTTTATTGTCATTATCAAGGCTGTGATTAATGAAGATGCATCAGGAGATGTTGAAGCACTTCAACATCAGATTCGACTTCTAAAGGTAAGACCTTTATTTTTCTTTTATTATAAATATAAACTTATATAAATATAATAAAATAAAATCTACATTCTTTTTTAGGAGGAGCTTGTGTCTCTTAAACGCCTCAACATATCAAGATCACTAACAAATAATTCAAAAAATGAGAATTGTAGCAATGAAAGTTCACATGATAATTATGAAGATGATGATGAAAAAATCCTAAGAGTTTCTTGTAAACAGGTAATAATAACAAAAACACAGTTTTTTTTTTTTTTTTTTTTTTTTTTTTTGACTTTTTGTTATCTTTTTGAAAGTAATACTTTATTTACTTTTTTGTATGTCAGTTAAAATCATTAGAGACTTCATTGAATGGAGCTTTAAGAAGAGAGCAATCTACTGAAAATTCTATAAAACAACTTGAAGCAGAAATAGAACAATTGAATAGCCTGGTATGTTTTTCTACTTTTCTTTTCTACTTTTCTTTGGTGTTTTTATATATATAATTTAAAAAGTTATATAAAATTTGATATTAGGTGCATCAAAGGGAGGAGGAAAACAGGTGTACAAAAATGATGTTGAAGTTTAGAGAAGATAAAATACAAAGGATGGAGTGTCTTTTATCTGGATCACTGAGTGTTGATTCTTATTTGTTAGAAGAAAACAAAATGGTGAATGAAGAAATCAAGATTCTTCGTGGAAAAGTTGAGAGGAATCCTGAAGTGACACGTTTTGCAGTGGAAAATATTCGGCTTCTTGAACAACTTAGAAGGTAGATTTTCAATAAAATCAAAGTTTATATTTAATAGTGAATGGATTTCAAGAATCAAGATTTTGTGTTTTTGGATTTTGTTTAGATTTCAAGATTTTTATGAAGAAGGGGAGAGGGAAATGTTGTTGACTGAAGTTTCTGAATTGAGGGATCAGTTGACTTTGTCTCTTGATCAGAATTTGAATCAAAGTATTGAAAAGGTAATTTTTGAATTTTCTTTTTTTTACATTTATCATCCTTTTTTATTAACCCTTTTGAAAATGGCAATAGGAAAGTACACAAGACAAAAAACAAGATGATTTTCTTCAACTTGAGGTAATCAATCTTCTTGTTTTTATGCTCTTTAATCAATTTTAAACTTGGGTTTAACTTTTTCTTTTTTAATTTCAGTTAGAGAAATGCATGGAGAAAAATGCAAAACTCTGCAGGGAAATTGCCGATTTAAATGATTTACTAGAAATGCAAAAATCTGAGGTCATAAAGGTAATTTCAACCTTTTCAGTTATTTGTTACTTATGTTTGAATATGACAAGTGTTTTGTAACATTTAAATAAGAAGAATTTCAATGGTATTTCAGGATGAAATTCTTGCAAATAACACCAAAGAAATACTGGATTTACAATTGGAGGTTGAAATTTTGAAAATTATTCTCAAAGAGGAGAGATCGATTCATGTTGAAACAGATGAAAAGTTTTTGTTAATAACAAAACAATGTGAAAACTTAAAAGAAGAGCTTCAAGAAGCCAAATCAGTCATTGAAGCTCTTGAGATACAAAATCTTGTATCAATCAATGAGCTTGAAGATCTCAAGAACATTAATAATAATCAGTATTCTGAAATCACTTCTTTGAATGACAAAATCTTAAGTCAAGAATCAAAAGAGCAAACTTCATTAAACAAAGTGCAAGATTCTCTTGAAAAAGCCAAGAAATTGAATACTTTTTACCAAAATGATCGAGTTTTTCATGAGTCGGATGAAGAACAAATGGATGAAGTAAGAAAACAAGTTGAGGCTGAAACTAGTGAGGTTATAGTCTGCTTACAAGAAGAACTTTGCAATTTTCAGAAAAAAATGCAAGAAAATAGTTTAAAAGAGAGAGAAACACAACAAGAATTGATCATTTTGCAAGAGAAACTAGATGTTATGAGTGAATGCAATAAAACATTAAGAGAAAAGTTTGAAGAGAAAGATAGAGTTTTATTCAGTTTATGTGAAAAGATTGAAGAGGTTCTTAGTGTTGGTGATATGGCTCTTGATGATGTCATGAATCGGTTTGTAAATGGAAAACAAGAATGGGTTTCAGAGAAATTAAAGATTATTGCAAGAAATGTATATGAAAAGGAGTTAAGGATTGAGGAATTGAATTCATGTTTAGAGGATGCAAAAAGAAAAAGTAATGAAATGGAGTCGATGTTGAGGTCATTAAGAGGGGCAATTTTGGTAATGTCAGAAGCACACCAACAAGATTGCAACAAAAAAGATGAAGAAATTGTTGAAAAGGAATGTGAGATTGATAAGTTAAAAGAAAGTCTTATAGAAAAAGATTTTGCAATTGAAGTGGAGTCTTGTTGTTACTTTGATAAGTTTTTAGAAACCGATTTTATGATTGAAGAAATGAAGATTGAGATCTCAGAGATGAAGAAAAAAGAAGTTTTTTTAATAAACGAGAGAGAAAGTTATTCGATTCTTGAAACACAAATTGAAACAGATACAATTTCAATGAAGAAAGAAGTGGAAGAGATTGAACATATGATTCTTGAAATCCAAGCTAAAAATCAAGATCTCATACCAAAGCCATCTGATTTTGACAATATCAAGTCTTGTGTTCATGAAATGCTGACGTGGCATGAGGAGATATGGTGTGAGATAATTGCAAAGGATTGGGTTGTGTCTGTGTTACATGTGTGTCACATGGGAATATTAATGGAAACATTGAGTGGTTTGAATGTAGAAAAGAGTCTACTTCACCATGGATTATGTGAATCGAATGCTTTAGTATCCGAGTTAAAAGGGCAAAATGGTAAATCAAGAAAAGAACTTGAAGCTTGTAGCATGCTTAGAGGGAAGTTATTGGTTGACATCAAGAATGGTTTTGATCGAATTTCAAGAAAAGAAGAAGAAACTGGAAACCTTTCGATAAAAATTACAAATTTTGAAAAAAAGATTCTTGATTTACAAGTTATGGAGGAAGCAATGTTGGAAAGGTTTAATCATATGGGAGATGAGCTTTTTACAATAATGAAGGAAATAAATGTTATTGATCAAAAGCAACAAGAAATGATTGATGATGAAGATGAAGATGAAGAGAAAATAGTGATTGATTCATTTGAAAAAGAGATTGAGTTGTTGTTGAAGCTAGAAAAAATGGCTTCTATAAATAATGATCTCGAGAAAGAGAAATTTAGTATTTTTATGGAACTTGAGAAGTTTAAGGAAGACATGATTATTTCATTTGTGGATATGAAATTAAAAGATAGCTTTGATCTTGAAATGTCATCATGCAAACTTCAACATGAATTGGAAATGAATGTTGAAGAGTTGAGAATACAAAAAGAGGAAAACAAGAGACTTTCAATCATGTTAAAAGATCAGAAACATGAGATTGAAGAAGCTAATTTTGAAGCTTTACAATGTGAAGTCTATGAAAGTGTTGTGAAAAGCAATGTACTTGAAACTGTTGTTGATGAAAAGAACATTTTGATAGAATCATTGAAGGAAGATGTGAAAAGAATTAGTTGTGAAAAAGATGAAAAGGAAGAGGAATTGAAGGTTTATGAAAAGTCAGTGGAAGAGCTAGAATGCACTGTGAATGTACTAGAGAACCAGGTAATATATATAAAAAAAAGAAAAAGAAACTAAAACTTTTTTTTTTTTTTTTTATATTTTTCTTTTATTTATATTAACAAAGTTTATTGAAATTCCAAGATTAAGATGGTGAAAGGAGATGCAGAAAGACAACGGTTGCAAAGGGAGGAGGTAGAAGTAGAGCTTCATGCTTTGAAACAAAGCAATGATTCTGTTATGCAAAGGTTTGTTAAAAACTTAAAATCCAAAATTCGTACATTGTTAAAAACATGTAAATTTATTATATATGATTTTGTTTATTTATAGAGATTTAGATGAAAAAGAGAAAGAGCTTCAAGATCTTCTTAGACGCAACATCATTCTTCAAAAAGAAATCATCTCCAAAGATGCAGAGGTTTTACTTTTACTTTTACTTCTTACTTCTTATCATTTTCTTTATTTAAAATGTTCTTCTCATGACTTGTTTATTTCAATAGATCATTGAGTTGAATCTCCAAAAGGTTCAATCTAGAGAATATAATGAGAAAGTAAGCAAATCCATAAACTATATAATATATAATATGTTGATGTATTTTTGTATTAACAAAAGAAATGCATATTAGATTAAGGAAATGGAGGAAATGGCTGATGTGAATGTGACATCTCCCTACAACATAAATTCACCATTAAAAAGAGTTGAGAGAAGTGGATCAAGGTCAAAGGGTCAACATGGTTCTTCTCCTTTTAAGAGCATAAGATTAGGGTTTGTACAACAAGTGAACTGTGAGAAGGATGAAGAGCTAATTTCTGCAAGAATTCGTATTCAAGAGCTTGAAGCATTGGTTGCAAGTTGGCAAAAGGAGAATAATGAGGGTGTTAAGCAACAACAATTGCTTACAATGGAAAATGAAATGTTAAAGGTTTGAATTTGAAAAAGCCTATGAATATAAAAATATCAAAACACTTTTGATGAATTGATTACTTGATATCTTGTTTTGATTACTTTTTTTTTTATGGATGTAGAATGAGATCGATAATCTCAAGAAGAATGTGATGGAGCTTGAAGTTGAAGGACAACAAAATCTCCAACAACAAATCCATCATCATGCCAAAATAAAGGTTCGATATTTTACCTTTCTTTGTTGAAAAACAAAGCTAGGAAAATGTCTTAGTTGCTGATTGAGTCAGATCTGATTGAGTCATACCAAACTTAGTAATAGGCTTTTAATTGTGGTATCAAACGGTCTGGATATGACTGAGTCAGACACAACCTTTTACCAGACTCATATAGTGGCATATCAAACAGTCTCTTACTTTGTAATACAAATGATAAATTCCCAATAAAATAAAATCGATTAGGTGTAAATTATTGTTAAAAGTTGTAAAGGCTAATAATGTCGATGTAACAGGAGGAGAACAATGTGTTGAAGGCACAAAATGATGAAATCAGTCATAAGTTGAAAAGGGCAGAAGTAATAATTAGACGGGTGAAAGAAGAGCTTGCTAACTTACGTGCAACTAGTGAAAGAAAGCCTTGCTGACGTGGAATACCTAAAATTTCATTAGTAAACAATTGAAAGAACAAAACCAACATTTTTTTATTGCAAATTCAAGATTTCTTGAAAATGTAGTTAGTTTTATGCTAGCTTAGCTACTTACTATTTAGTTATATTCTTCATGTTGTTGTAGAACATGTATATGAAGTGTTATTGAATAGTTCTTTTAGGTTTGTAAATTCTAAGGTTATATAGCAAAAAAGTCATTGCATTATTGTTTAAAGCATATTTTCGATGTATTTATTCTGATTCACCTGTCATTTCGAAACGAATCAATTAAATTTATTTTGAAATACAATAAGATATTTTTTGTGAAATATCCCATTATATATATAAATAAATAAATTATCATGTGAAGAAAAACATTTATGAAATTTCGCACCTCGATTGTTGTACTCCATAATGGTGATAATAATAGTTAAGTATGGAATTAACCATATCTAAATCCCTAAAGAATTGAAAATTACCATAACTCACTAATTACCTTAATTCTCGATTTGGGAAGTCTCCCATTTTCACTGACATATATGTTTATTCGCCTACACTTACTTATTCGTCAATTAAGTAATCATTTAAATAAAAAATTTTGGTTTAAACTTCTAACTTAATTACAAGAGTTGCACTATTGATAATATTGATTCTATTTGCGCCTAAATTGAACATAAAAATAAAAATACAAAACAATTAATATATGGATATAATATATTCGTTATGTGCATATGGTATAATTTTATGTTTAGACGTCACATGTATAGATAATGCTATATTCGTTATGTGGTTATGATATAGTTTTATGTTGTCATTATACTTCATATGATATCCACTAATTAGAAATTTATATAAAAAAATAAAAAATCAAACGAAACTAAAAGAAATCTTACATAAGACACACATAATTTTGATCCAATAGAAATTTAAAGATCCACAATGCATCATCGAAAAGTATTTTCAAATAACCCGAAAACCAAAGCAAATACATGAATCAAGATGCTTTTATATAGATAAGAGATACCTGAAAAAAAAAAATACTTGTATAAATCCGAAAAGCGAAAAAGCCATTGGTCCACATTCCACAAGTACACAATAAAATATCCTAAAGTTTTTCTCCATGTATCGCACCATACCATACAGTATCAAGTACCAAACCCCTTTGCATCGTCCTTACACCAACTGGATTCTGGAAACCACCAATCGTCATCATCCAACGGCCAAGATCACAGCATAATCAAAACTACGAAAAAAGAACTAAAACATGAAAACTCATTAAAATATCTCATCCTTATCCAAATACCATCGATGTCTATTAATATCACATGAATAAGAAAATTTATAAATATCATCACTCACCAAAAACTACTCTAAATCCACACACGTAATTTTACTCGGGCGACGATGATGATAAGATCAGTGCCATTAGCTCCGTCGATGACGACGACGATCTGTTGTTCTTCCAGAAACAATGCGTATATACCTAAACTCGAACCGTTTAGTCGGAGCAAGTTTGAGAGAATCGTTAAGGATCCTCCGTTGATCCAGAAATCCGAAAACGATCTAGCAGGTACTCTTTTTTAATTGTACTAATTGATTTTGAATCACGATGAAGCAAAACGAATTACAGTTCGCTGATTAACCCTAAAAACGACCGGATTTTGATAGATCAGATTCAGTTTTCTGTTTTTTCGTTCTAATAATCGAAGTTTATGTCCTTGGTGATCAGATTACTGTTCAACGCTTGAAGGAGACCCGTCATACAGCTGCTGGAGAGCTTATTTCGAGCTTAAAGATCTGGAAGTAAGAACACGATTACCTTTTAACTAATACATAAACGCAATTTGTCAACTTGATTTTCGTTAATTGAAGTTTGATTTGTGGTAATCTTTTTCATTTGTGAACAGAAAGAGCAGCCAAAGGAGGTGGTGGAGAGGGTGATTCTGGAATCAGGGGGTGTGAAATCGCTAGTTAGATGCTTACACGGGATTTCCGAAATTCACAAATCGAAAAAGCAATTAGAACATCAGAATGAATCAAACTTGGGTAATACAAACTCGGATATTACAGCAGCCGCCGGAGGTGGAAGAACATGTCCAGTACCGGACGGACTGCCGAAGAGTAGGGCGGAGATGGAGGAAGAAGAAAAGGGGAAAATGCCGGACTCACCGTTCACCAGATTGCTTCGGTCAAAAGGAAGATTTCCTGCTTGGTATTCCCCTGCTCCTGATCATGAAACAGATTAGTGTCAATGTCGAATGCTTAGTTTTTGGTGATTTTGCCTGTGTATGTACATATCTTGTTTTGTTCAATAGTTTGTTCTTGTTTTCTTGAACAAGTTTGGTTTTAGCGTATTAGATTTTAGATTAGATGTAATATATGCAAGATATTTGGTCGTTATACGTGAGCCATTTAAATCCCTCTTCGAATTTCTTGAATTTCTGCTGTATTTTTTAAGATTTGTGATGCAGAGAAGAGTTTGGGCGAAGATATAGTTTATGTTCGGCTTTTTATAGCTTTATAGCTTTTTGAAATAAATGAAAGGAAAGAAAAAGCTTAAAGCTTGGTAGTGTTTAACAGCTAATATGAGTTGCTTTACATGCATAAAAATTCTTAATTTCTATGGCTTTGAGGGTATGGTCATGGAAGGAAGAAGGTAAAAGAAAAAAATTCTGAATTTCTACGGCTTTGAGGGTGTGGTCACGGGAGGAAGAAGGTAAAGAAAAAAGAAAGAATTTGGAAGGAACTTGTGTTGTCAGCCACCGAGCCACGTGCCACGGACCAATTTTCTAGAAGGATCCTTTAGAAGAATGTCTGAATTCGGAGTGATCACCCTGTGAGTGAGACTCTGAAAGACGCTGGAATATTATAGAAATCCGTAGAACAAGATTGAACCGCTCACAAGACGATGCTAGAGGAAGCAAAAATAACTTGGAAGATTTTGGAACGATTGACGCTAGATCTTTCAAGAGTGACTTAGATAATGTTGGAATCGTCCTAGAAATTTGTAGGACATGTAGTAAAGAATAATATAGAAACTATAAAAGTAGTAAAGAATAATATAGAAGCCTTGTAAATTAGTAGGATAAATGTAAATAAATCTAAAATAGTCCAGAATAGTCAAAGATAGTACGGTTTCTACAAGCTTCAAGCTTCCATTGAGGAGGTGTAGGGATCTATAAATAGTAGGGAGGGTTCATTTGTAGAATCCATCGAGAATTGTCTTTTAATACAAAAAGTTTGAAATAATATATATATTTGTTTCATTTGTCGAAATCTTTAGCTTTAGTTTCTTGCTTGCTAGTTCGTTAATACATCAAAATCACAATGAGTGAAGTTAGCCTCACAGTCGGAAGCATGCTAAATGGCATACAATATTAATTAGTCGAAAGAGTCATCATGTCATGTGACATACGACACGGCTGGTGTATGCCCATCCACACTAAAGTGGGTGGTGTGCATGTATTGATCCTCTGTCTGCATTATTAGTATGTCTTTCGTATTGGGTACATATCCCATGCATTATATTAGTATGTCCTTCGTATTGGGTACATATCCCATAGCCTAATGCATCATTATTATGCCCTTCATGTTGGGTACATATCCCATAGCCTATGTGCAAAACAAAGTCACATAAGAACTAGAAACACATAGTAATTTCTCTACATCAGTATCTCTTCCCCCAAATCTACTTGGTATAGATTTCATTAACTTGATAATTTTATACAAAACTCTAAATATAGTTATGTAGAAAATCCTAAAACTTCATAACACCATCTTCACCAAAATAGAACGACCACCGGTAGAGAGAGCTTTAACCTTCCAATTAGAAAGTTCTTTCCAAAACCTTTCCATAATAAGATTCCACTCTTCAGTTCAACCCGTTGAAGGTCCCCCATAATAGGGTTTGAGTTAGGGGTGCACACCGTATATAACATGTTCTTACCAGCATGAATCCCTAAATAAATAAATGGAAGTTTCATTAGACAACACCCATTAATCATGTCTCAATATCCTCAAAGTCCATCCTATCATATATGAATTTGACTTTTGCAAATTTGTTCAACCCAAAAACAAACAAAAAAAGTTCAAGATACAAACGATATTAATGTCGTTTTCTTGACTCTATAAAAAATAACATGTCATTCACATCAAAATAAGAGATAATTAATCTCTTGTGCCATATCTTTAATAGCACCATGAAGATCTACCATAACTAATATATAGTTGTGAAAAAGAAAAATAAATTAATGATCACTTTGTCTTAACCTTACACAAATTTGAAATTTAGAAAAAAGATATTGTTATTAAGAATCGACATACGCAAATAAGATAAACATGCCTTCAACCACAAGCATCACTTCTGACCAAATCATCATCAGAACATCATAATATATTCCAAATATGGCCAACTTAATGTGTCATAAACCTTCTCAAACCCACCTTGAACACCATAAGTTTTGTTTGGTGCCCATTTTACGTTGACTGATGAATTAAAAAGTTCATTTTTACTTCAAATTTTATATTTTTATTAGGCTTTTAAGCTTAAAAAGACAAATTTTTGTTAAATTTTGAATCTCCTTGTTGATGATTCTTGTTCCCATTCGGTTCGGATTGACCTGCTTTGGTGGGTTCTCATTGCTTATTCGATAGGTTGATGAGAGTTGAACTTCTTTCTACGAAGTCCAAAGTTCTTAAACGAATTGACGGCTCATTAATTTGTTTTTACAAGTTTGTCTAAGTTTCTTAGGTCCCCACCACCTATTCGGTAAGTATTTATGAAATCTAGTTATAGCTTTTTCCAAGCTACTTGTTATGAATTGACGACTTGCATCACCACTTGTCATGACAAGTGCAACCACAATATCACGGGTTCCCATCCGCATATTCAATAAGTTTGTGGGAGTTGATTTTCTTATTATGAAAATTAAAATACAACACTTTGTGCTTTGCAAATGAATTAACAAGTTTATTTTACTTGTTATTGCAAGTGCAAACCTATTTTTGTGGGTTCCTCATCACCTATTCTACGGGTTTTGATGGGAGTTGGACTTCTTTTTACGAAGTCGAAAGTTTCTAAGGAATTGACGGTGTGATGATCTTCATTTTATGAAATCTAATTTATTTTTATAAGGAATTGACGGTTATAGTTCATACGCGCTCATAATTTTATCAATGATATTTGGGTTTGGTTGAAGATGCATTTAAAGACAAATTATTTAGCAACAAATTTCATCAACACATGCAAGAAGACCAATTTAGGCTCAAGTTGCAATTTTAGAAGCCCATCAATTAGCTATGTTTAAGCCCAATTTGTAAGCCATTTCAATCCAAGTCCATGTAATTTGCTTTTTCACTGTTTCCGGAAGATATAACTTTGGACAAATAGATACAAAGAAAAAGACATGGAAGTGATGGTCCATGAGGCAAAATCTATGCAACACACAACTCAATGAAAAAGAAAACTACATGTATACAACTCAATGAAAAAGAAAACTACATGTATCGAATTTGATGATACATGTATTTCTAGACCAATAAGTCACTTTGTTGACTTGCACCCTTCCATGATTTCTGAGAAATAAAGGGAGTTGAACCCTTCTCTATCCAAAAGGCCAACCTTTTCCATCTCCATTCCTACCTCCTTCAACTACCTTCTAACTATACTAACTAGGGTGTTCAAAAATACCTGAATCCGAAAATCCAATCTGAAAATCCGATCCCAAATTATCCAAAATTTCTGATATCCGGATTTTCGGATATCCAAAATTTGGATATCCAAATTTTTGGATTCACATATGGATAGTAATTTTGTAAAATTTAGGATATCCAAAATCCGAATAATATGATTTTATTTTGTATTTTATTTGTTATTTTAAACTCTTATATCTAATAATATCTATGTTAATAACTAAAAATATTCGTAATATGTTTAGTTAAGCCCTTTTATTACTACATTTATATTTGTATTAACCGGTCACCATAATAAAGAATGAAATATTCATTGTTTTTACTTTAATTTGAAGTAAGATTAATCAATTAATATTATAATATATTAGATTAAATATAAAATTAAATATTAAATGACGATAATAAGTTGAAGATAACATGATAGAAGGCATGAAGCACCATTTTTCACATACATAAAATAGAAATGAATCTACATTTGGAACAATGATGAAGTTAACCCAAAATAAACTGTTTAGAACCTTAGATGTGGCTATTTAAATGCAACATATTGACATTGGTATTTTTTTTGAATTGATATTTAATGGTGATAAAAAGTTAGAATTTTCGGATATTCGTATCCGAAAATTGGATATCCGAATTTCGGATGTCCGGTTTTGAACACCCGTACCACTAACCACCGCTTACCATCTTGAGCCTTAACCCTTCTTAGCCACCCTTATGTCCACCATATGAGCCATCATCACTCACCAAAGAAAACATCACCAATATCGCCACCATCAGCATGTTTCAGCTGAGAACCATATCTTTACCAACCTTTATGCCAAACCACCACCAATCCACCTTATACCACCCAATACCACCCTTAACCCTCCATACAACCACCATTTGTCCACCCTTATCTCCACCATACACAACTTATAGCATCACATATCCGTCATCCTTCATCACAATCAAACACCCCTTGAATACCGAACCCTTTTTTATCACCCGACACCACCCACACAAATACTAGCCTCTTAACCACCTCTATCTACACCGTCGCCATACCCTATCACCCCCGAGCGCCCACCAGTTATCAAGCCTAAAACCAACACCTTCATATCCAAATTTTTAGACCCTATACATCGTCTTCTTTGCCAATTAAACCTGCAAAAAACACGAAAAATAAGAGGGAGAAAAACCTATGATTGAATTAAAGAAGAATGAAGGGGGGGGGGGTGTGACAACTGTCAACTTTGGGTCAAACAAAGTCAACCAAGTCAACACGACTAGTATTAAGATTTTAGGATAAGCACTATGTTTTCTTAATGTTCCTAATGTACAACTTGCAATTATAATACAAAGTATCTATCTTTTTACCAATTATCAAATATAAACCCTAGTTAGGGTTAGTAACGTAAAAACTTGATAATTCAGCTATATACTATTTAGGAATAAATAATACTCGTAACACAACGTAGTAGGGTTCATAAACCTAACACTAGGGGGCAAAAATCATAGCAAAGGCTACAAACACAAACTTTTGGTAAATTCGTCACCAAATACGACAAAGTTTATACCCGGCTAAACACAAACTTTTAACGAACCAAAATTTGGAAATTCAACCTAACTTTCATATAATGTATTATTATTTTGATGATAATGCTTGTTATAATAGTTTGAATATTTATAATTCAAATTAAATATTTTATACGTCCTTTATACCATATTTAATTTATAAAACACCACCATT